ATTGAAGGTTTTAAATTGATTTGCTTCTACATTCAATAAATCAGACTTAATCCTAGTTAGATATAGTGACGTGTTTTTGCCTAAGATCTTTTTGAATCCGGTTATTTGCAATTACATCTGCTTTAGTAAGCGAGCTAAATCTCTCCTTCGTGAGCAGCAAACATTTCAAAATGTGACTTTAAGAAAGATATTTAAAATTCCCCCGGTATGTCAGAAATTCTGATATGTATAAAGGTGCAGATCTTAGATCAATCACTGAATAATCATGATGCTTATAAGGAATACATAAATTAGTCAATGAGATGGGTGGGACCCTGTAGTACCTGTAGCTATCAAAGAGTAAAAGTGACTAGTTGCGCTGACTTGAAAAAAGGATCAACATACATACATACATACTAAGTTACTAACATTAGCACGTCTAAAGTATTCAGCAAAATAGATGATCATGTCAACAATTCTTTAACTCGCCTTAGAAGTATTTAAGTGAAAGAGGAAAGATATGCTGATTTCTGTTTTGTTATACTTAAAACAAGAAAGGGATTCTACAAGTAAAGTAATATATTATTGATTGCCAAGTTTTTCTAGTTTCTATCAAATAGGCGCATTCAGTGAAAGAAGTAAACGCACACAACTCATAATTTGTACTTCACAATAGTTAACTATCTAATATATACATCTGACTTAGCCTTAAGCTGAACATGATGTATATTTGTGAATTATTCTGGTCAAATAACTCACTTCTTGGGATTGCACTCTGAACTGTAAAAACAAAATATTTTATTTATGAATCACAATTTAATAAGACTAAGACTGTATTTTAATAGCAGAAGTTGCAGTAATAACATATAAACAAGAGATTATATTATAGAGTCTTGGGATCAGTGACAAAGCGAAAAATCATATTTCGCCTAATTACAAAATCGAAATATTTTATTTATGAATCAGAATTTAATAAAACTATATTTTAATATCAGAAATTGCAGAAATAAGATATTACAAATAACAGATTATATTGTGGACACTTGAGATCACTCCGGAAGTTCCAATGCTTATTAAAACTGCTTATAGTAAAGAAAACATTCTTCATTAGATTCTAGATGGAGCTGATATAAACACCCGTTTAGTCCACCTAATAATCAATTAAGGCGTGTTAACACATAAAGAAATTCATTTTAATAAATTCTTTCAAGAATACATATCTCATTATCTAGCTCAGTCTTATGTTTATATATTACACATTGATTAGGAGTGTTTATATATTTTTCAAATACTAAACTTAGTAGTTAATAATTCCATATAATTTTCCTTTTCATATACATAGTAAATTAAAACGTATTATAACAAACAGTGAAAACAATAATCAAGATTATATTAATTTTTTATTATAATTATTATTATCATCATAATTAAATTATACACATACATAAAATGTGACGTCAAAAGCGATTAATTCTACTAACATAAATAAATATTTATACTCAGAATAAAAATAAGTACATTGCTTTGTTTATTTATACTCGAAACCCAGCAAAAAAAAATTCACTTATCAGTCAGTATAAGAGTAAACCTATAGGCGAGTATAAATAATATCAAATAGACGAAGAACTGTCTCTGTTTACTAAATTATTTATGAGTACAAATTTCAAATGCTAAAAATCCATACTGACAACGGTTGAAACAAGCACTACAAGTCGAAAACAATTATAAATAAATCACAAAGACGAGATATTTTTCTATTTTTATAAAGATTTATAAACAAACATCAAATAATGGGACATTATTTATAGAAAACTATGTTGAAAATACTATCTTATGTTATAAAAGAATTCTTCATAAATTCTTTTTTTTAGTAAACAAAATAAATACATATATACATATATAAATTGCATATATGTATACTATATTTACCATTAGTTATATTACTTTAAAATATCTGCAGCCATGTATGTCCCATGTTCTCAATATTAGCTAAGCATATAATGTTCCCCTTTGAAACCCAACTGGTAACGTATTAATTTACGGACTATAGTACCTTAGGTAAGTCACGTAGGTTGAAATGAGGAGTAGTATAAACGTACACATTAGAGTTTCCCATAAAAAATTTAGACAAAATGTATATACCTATATTGATATAAAGGGACTCGTAATAAATATTTTGCTTAGAGTTTATGATACTAAATAGAAATGAAAAACTCATTATTCTAACTAACTGAAATGGTAAAAAAAACTATTTCTGCAAGAGCTCTTGACATTATAAAGTCTCTTTTTGTTCCTCTGTTTTTTCAATTTCTTCAATGTTCCGATATTTTGCGTCCCAGATAAGATAAACAGTGTGCCATTTTTTTGAGTTCATTAACATTCCTCTGCTTTGTTGCATTGCGTATGAGGTTGTGATGGCTGAATTTAGAAACTAAATTTTACCCCAAATATTCAATAGTATAGTGTTGATGTTTTTGAATGCCCAGTCCTAGATTAGTATTAACATTCCGCTGCAATTCTAGTAATTTAGACCTAAAAAACACTGAAATATTGGCGGAGACTTACAAACGTTTTAATGACCAGTTTCTTCAAATATATACTCTCATCCAACATCTATTCTGCACTTAAGGGGTAATAGTGCTTTGTACTACATTTATTCTTCTTAGGAATACATCTTATATATAGTCACCACGAATATATTTTATATCTGCACATATACCAGTTACTATATAAAAGGAAACATCATTTTTTTAACATTCCTATAAGTGTACCGTGATAGTAAACTTACTTGTTGTAAATATATTGAGGCATAAGTGAACCCAAATAAAACTAAAAGCATAAATAGTCAATTAGTTATTCTATAAAAATTTGAAACTATATTTAGACTATAAAGTACATCTACATTCAACTTTTTTAAAGTTCACCAAGTTTTTAAATATATAGCAATTACAGATTGCTAAAGATTTTTTAGTATTTATAAGTTCAAGTGAATTGAAATATTTCAAAGAATAGAAAATTATAATTTTAGACAAATTTTATTTTATATCACCGATATTTCAATATTTTTTTATGATTAAATATATTTCAATAATCTTTTTAGTATTATAATTTCAAACACTTCTTATTTAATATCGCAGACATTTCAATATTTTATTTAAGGTTAATATAACTTGATCTGATAAATAAATCCAACAAACTTCGAAACGGTGTTATAAAATGAGAGTTAATATGTCTGAAATTGTAATTGAGTTTGCATTTAGATTTACCATATATTTCTATTCATGGAAGCCCATAAATACTAGAATATTTTTTAGTTAACCTGGATATTCCGTGCTCAACCCTGAATCAATGCTTGTTCATCCAGCAACTAATATATTAGATATATTAATTAGATATCCAGTTTATCTAACTCATACTCAAAGTCAAGAACTGGAGTTTCTTGCTATTTAAGGCATGAAAAAATCTGCTGAGACCTTAATAAACTTATAGAAAGAAAGAAACTTATAAAGCATTTCAATCTACTAGTAAGGTAAAATTGTGCAGGGCAGATGCACTAATGTACTTAAAGCAGACAGAGAATTGCTAATATGTTTAAAGTTGGTTAGCAAGAAGTTCTAGATTTGCTGCCATAATAATATCTATATAGGTATATATATGATTTTATAGCCCGATTATGATTTTTTCATAAAATTTTAATAATTTTTATACATATTTAAAAAATAAATATTACAGAAATATATGACTCAAATCTATCAAAAACAAATCGATCAATGTAATGAAATATATGACAACCACATTTTCTATAATAAATTTATCTGAGTACCTTAAATTTGCATTTTCTTCATTTAAATTAATTAATATTGAAAAACCGTCCGTAATTAATTTTAAAATCATGTAAAATATATAAATTTTCATAATCGTAAATTATTAAATAATAAGTTTTGCTGACGTCAATTAATATTTTATAATACTTTTATATACTATACAAGTTTTTTTATCATTAATTACTTACATTACAGGCTGGAAACTATAATTTGAAAATTAAGTACATTAAAACTAAGTAAAATAAACTGATAAAAAAAGCTGTTTAAACAATTCAAGGTTGTGAAATTATTTTAATCAATGTTTAAAGCAAAAATCTATATTGAAACTATTTAATATACACGTATGAGTACATATAGTAAAAGGTCTGTTAAATTGCCACTCCCAGTTAAACGTGGAATACTACTAATTTTCATTTGTCATATAAATTATGTTCTTTAAAACGGATAATTCGTTTAATCGAACTGAATTGTTGATATGTCAGTGTCCGCTAAAAAAGCTTTCACTGTATTTGTTTATGGTGTACTGCTACAGTAAAAATATTTAACAAATTAAATTAATAATTCATTTTTTAATAATTGAATTTTTAATAAAATCAATATTTGATTTCAACAACATAACATAATTTTAAAAAATTTATGATTATTATTTAATTTTAAACAATTATTATAATTTCATAACATCAGTGGATTATCAGTATTTCCGCGAACGTCAGTGTTAAGATTGTAACTTCTTCAATAACAAGTACTTTTCTGAGAATAAACTTGCCTCCATCAAAATATAAATATTTTACCAGTTTTCTTTCGCCAGACACATTTCTCGTTGATTTACATTAGATACTAGTATTTTTGTTAACTTTTTATCACATTCACCGAAACTGCTATCTAGAACAATCATATGGCAAATATGTATGTCTGTCATAAAACGCTCATAAATTCCATAGAAAACAATTCATGAGCAATATATATATATTTTATATAGGTATATAAACTTGTAGTTTTCTAGTATTAACATTTCAAGGTAAATTTTAATAAAACAAAATGTGTCAGATGCTCGTCAACTATACATATTGTATGATAAACTTACTGTGACATTTTCAAAAATTAACTCATATTTATTAAATCATAACGCAAATACCAACTCATTTTAAATATTTTAATTAGAATTGAGTAACGACTTACTAAAATAATAGAAATGAATAACTATTTGTATAAAAGTTTATTTAAATATTTAAACATATCATTCATATCATATCTGTCATATCTGCATCACTACTAGTGAAGTACTTCACTTCCTATGCTAATATGGATTTCATTCATATAAAAAAAAAACTTTACTTTAAGTACACTTTAATCCAACTCAAGTACACTTAAAATTTCATGTAAAAATTAAGGAAAATGTTAAAACGTTAAGTGGATACTGATAACAAATATATATTGATGTCATCAATGAAACATGTATTAGAGTGCATATAGTATTTAAAACTGAAAGTAGAAAAAAAAAGAATAACTTTAAGAAAAAATTAAAAAGCACTTTATAAGATTTGCAAATAATATAACAACAATAATATTACTATATTATCGTAGATAACAAAATTAGTGTAAGCCAAAAATAATATAATTTCTAATAAGATACAAAATTATTATGCATGAAACAGTTATTGAATATGGTAAATTAATAGTATTAATGGAAAAAGCCTGCAGTGATATATAAAAAATTAATTAAATATTTTAAATGAATTATTAATAACAAATAAGAACAAAAAAAAAAATAATTAAGACTATTGAATAATAATTAATAATATTAAAGCAAAATCATTTTTACATTTACCATATATTACGACTTAATATTCACATAAATAAATAGTAATGCATTAACGTTATCGATCTTCATTTGATCTTCATTTAGGTCTAATATATTCATACCGAGTACTTCATATACATGAATTAAATATTCAAGCTGCTTAATGATACTACACTACACTTCATATATAAATACGTGTAACAGCAAAGGATTTCGAACGGATCATTGTACTTAAGCTCAATCGTATTCAAACATCAAAATACTCTAAGCCTCAATCAAATTGAATACAGTTTGAAGCTAAACATATTGGAGAACTTTTTCCAAGTACTTATTCTACAAGTTACTTAACTACCTTAAATCGCTTCATATTTCTTAAACTTTTAAACTGTTTTTATATGATATTACAGATAAATCAATAGTCAAAAAAAGAAGATTATAACACAAACAACACCAATTTCTATCTATTCTCTTAACTTTTGTAGCTTTTAGACAACATTGGAAGGTTTTTAAAACATTTTAATAATCAATTCGCCACTCTGACTAATAAATCTCTCACACATTTACCATGGTTTTAAGATCGAAAGCATAAGGAGCTCATTCCTATTAAAGCACATTTTCATCATTAATCCTGGGTTTCTCACATCTTGCAATATGTAGCAGTGTGTTATAATGATAATAAGTTCACAATATTAGTCCAAAGATTTATTTAAAAATCAAAAAGCTGTTTCAAGGATTTCACTATAGTTTACGACATTCATTTTTGAAGTAAAATACTATAATTTTCTCTTCACGTAGTATAAAATAACATCGGACTGTAAAACCTCTCTAGCACAGCTACGATTACCACTTAGATGAAGTTTATCCTTACAAAAATCATAAACATTATAATTATAGCCATTTAGTCCCTTCAGATTCAACACAAATTATTAGAAAAAGCACTACATATTTTTTACTCTTCTTTCCCTAATGTTTCTTTAGAGCCAATTAATCAGCATACTTCGTCAATAAGCGCTCCAGATTTTAAACGAAATAAAACCGTTTGTGTGAATTGATAATGTCAACTAATATAAATCTATTCTGATTAGCTAAGGAATCAATATTATTTTGTTAATTTTAATTATATAATGTAATGTTCACCAGAATTCAATGCATAAATTTGTCCTCTTATTATTAAAAACAAAATGTGTGATTTATAATAATTTCATTATTTTTCAGAGAGAGTATAGGCGAAACGATAATAACAAGCCAATTCAAATGAATGACTGTAAGTATATAACTATAATTCTCAACAACTTGAATTAATTATTTATTCAAATATATTATTGAGTATATAACTATAATTCTCAATACTTTGAATTAATTATATGTGCAAATATATTTACACGAAATCGAAAATATCAAAGCCGTTGGTCGGTATTAATTTTAATGTAATAGAGTACAGAGTATTAGAGTTTATTTAACTATGTTACGCACCAATAGTTCTAAAATACAATTCAAATGAAGGTATGGTTGTACATCGTAAATAAATCTTTATAAATTGTGATTATTTAGGAATGGAAACTGTGTAATAAGTCAATGAAGAGTTTAGTAACTTATAGGTATTTAAGTTTCTACAGCAGTACTTAAAGGCACGGTTGCCACTTATGTTACTTTAGTACCAAAATTGGTACGTTTTTTTTCGTTTGGTACTCATGTTCAGAAAATGGCACATTTTTGACGACCCAATTTTTTTGTGGATATTTCCAAATAATTTTTTTTATAAATGCAACTTTGCACTATTTTATATTCTGTTCATTTATAACACTATGAAAAACAAACAAAAAAATTTTGGACCTTTTTTTACAGAAATGGTACCTTTTTAAACCAATTTTGGTACAGAAAAAAATTTTCAAGTGGCAACCGTGCTTAAAGGACTGATTTATAGTATACAAAACGAGTATATGATAAGTGGTTCAAACAAATATCCACATACCTATAGTATATAATTTCCCAGATAGGAAAATTTATTTTAATTATTGTAACTGATTTTCATACTTTTATCTAAAGTCATTCTGAAAGTCATTTTTAAACCTAAAGTCATTCTGAACTACTGTTTGGGACTATTCTATCAGTAAATATCTTTATTACATTTTAGATGTTTAATATATATTCAATTTTTGGAAATTATTAAATAGTGATATTAGAAAATTAATTCTAATCTGAATTTATTTTCCGTTTAAGCGGAATTTAATTTTGATAAAATACGTAACCAAACTTATATATGTAAGTTCTTTTAACTCGTTGTAATATTATGAGTGGCCTACTTGGCATCTCATTTTATTCTTTTCATGTGTGGAAAAGGTTTTGCATCTAACTTCTATAAAATAAAACTTTATCCGTGATATAATTAAAACGTAATAATGTGATAACAGTATATTTAAATGGAAAACCACAAGTGATTATCTTTAGAACATGCGAACACCTCAACGTAAGCAAATATTTCGTCAATTAACGCATAATATAACTGACACAATACTTAAAGGATAGAGGGACTAACAATATCTATACATTATATCTGTAATAAGAGTGGTTTGGAAAACGATGACCTTCTTTAGAAGATAAATGAAAAACAGCCATTCAAAGAATATTTAAAAACGAACTTAAAGGGTAAAATTTTACAGGTATTCTAAAATAAACTGGATCGAATTAGCTATTATTATTTAGCAAACAAAATGAACAAGTAACATTTATTTGAAGTAAATAAGTCGAGAAGACTATTAAAATTAGAAAAGAGGTTTGTATTTGTTTGACATCTGGTAACTTCTTTTCGCATTATTTTTGGACCACAGCGTCATTGCGAATTTAATCCCCTGAAAAAGTTTTAATTGTGCTTTGAGCGAATGTTCCAGTAAATGTTACAGTAAAGATTTTGTACTGCCTTACGAAGTAAGCTCAAACTAACAATGGATCGACTACCGTGACACCAGTTGCACACTAGCTAGATTCCATGGTATGATGCATTTTGCAAGATAAAGTCAGCACTAAAAAATACTAGAATGTTGATGTGGTTGAAAGTGTTTCATTAATAGATGATTATTCTCTGGTTTACATACGTGTAGTATACGACTGGTTTGTCGATTAACTCAGAGCCGTAGGGGAAATATGGTGTGCATATCAAAAACTTGAGAAGAATTCAAATAATCTAAACAATTGTTTTCAAAGAGATTTTCTCTCGGCTCAATGAAATCCAACTTCAAATAAATAATGCAGAGCTCTTAAAACAACTCAATTTAATGAAACTCAGTTTCAAATAAAAAACACAGAGTTTTAGAAACTTACAATCCTTTTCGATGAAAGCTAATTCCAAACAAAGAATACAGAGCTTTATAAACTAACAATACAATTCAGCTACCATGTTGATATAATTAAATTCTAATCCTTGCAATAAATTTATTTATAATAAAAAAATCAAAGAGATCAAGTTGTAGTGGTATATGGACATGCTCCATGACTCCAGTAAAGTGATAAAATTCTATGCGTACTCTATGCGTTTTTTGTGAAATTACAACGCTACCGAGTTGTCAAGGAATTAGGTCTAATATATATTAATATTTTAATATTAATATTATTCTAATGAAACGTAAGATTATAGCATAACACTATTAGAACTTTACCGAGAAAAAATTGAAAAGTGTGCGTTCAGACATTTATCATTTTATCACTTTACTGATTATCCAGTTCCCGAGCTATGTCTGAATACTTCTATTATAAGAATCTCTTACGAGAAGCAAATACACAGATAAAAAATACGCATTTTCTTAAATATAATAAATTTTAATTAAATTTTTTTATTAACAAATTTAATGCTTATGTTCATAATTATCAACAATTATCAAGAGTTTAAAAACTATAATTAATGTATGAGCATGGAGGCATGTGATGAAGATATATAGACGATAAAATTTGTGTAATGATAAAAAACTCATGATGTCAACAATAACAATCTTGTCGTTTTGGTACATACAATATTTGCTTTTAAAAATTAATTTCTTATTTTTTATAAAAACGAAAGATATTTCGAAATATAAAGTTCACTTCATTTTGGTTTATTTACTAATTTGTTGCTTTTACGTTGGCACTCTATCTACATTTAAACAAAATGGCAATTTAGATAACAACGAAATTAATAAGAAAAATATATACGTAGAATAAAATTATAAGATAACAAAGTATATAATATGAAATACGCAGGTGTATAATGAATGTATAATAAAGGAAAGTTCAGGATTTTTTTTTCTTTTGCACAAAATAATAAAAAAAAATTAAATGATAAGATAAGCGTCCTATTTAAGCCTATTTTTCTACATTTTTTTTACTTTTTTTTTTATTTTAATAATAAAATAACATCAATAAAAAATTATTATTAAATCGAAAAAAAGAGGTAAGGTAAAATGTAGAATATATAAACTTAAATTTTATATAAATAATACTATTATGGGCGAATTTAAAATATTTTAGTGAATTTAAAGAAAAAATAAATTTGAATATTTATATATTTACAACTTAAAACTATAGTAACATACAATTTTTACACTTATTTAACATAGAAAAACTTAAATTTTACTTAAATGAACTGAGATTTTAATACCCTTTTTGATATATAAGAAATAAATTATTTAGTGACTAGTATTGCACCCCAGCGAACGGCGATAAACCTACCTTTTTTTGACGTTTCGGACCCAAATGCTGAGCTGCCAACATGTCAGCTAAATCCTTCTCTTTTTGTTGTATATTATCTTCTTCTGGTTGTTCTGGTATAGTAAATGAAGTGTCATCTTCGCCGCCACTTGCCGAACACGTGGAACAATCACTTATCTTACGTTCTAATGGCATACGTATACCGTTAACATAACATTCTGCACCATCCAGTGCAGAAATTGTTGAACCACAATAATATAAATTGCTACATGATGAAGATGCACTTACATCGGAGTTGGCATCCGCATCCTTTTCGTTGCCGGCGGTTTCGAGTGAGGAACGACGACGTCGCATGCGATGTGCGCGAAAGTACTCAATTTCTTCCAATGTGATGCCGATCATAACATCATCAGAATAATCAGAAACGACAACAGAAGGTGTACGCACAAAACGCACACCACCCATTTCACTTGTTGGATAATCGCTTATACAACTTTGTGCGGACTCACGTCGAGAGCTGGAGAGAGAACAACCAAGTGAACGAGGATCTTCAGGTATTTCTACAACGCGTTCTTCTAACAACACCTTACTGGGTACTGTTGTTTTATCGAGTACATTCTGTAGTGAATGTTGCAGCTCCGTTGTAGGTGAATCCGGTAATGTGGTAGGCTCTGCCAAAGGTAATAAAGCTGGCCTTAACGGTAAATCTGTTACAGTAAGTGTCATACGTCGCTTTTGTGTTTGTTCTGCTGGTGGTAGTGCAGCAGGTACGTTGGCATCCATAGGATCATCAACATCTAAACCTAAAGCTGAATCACTGCTTGCTGAACGTGCTACCTTATCTTTTCGCTTAGAGCGTTCAATTGTAGTAGATGTGGTACGAATTGATTCGTTATCCTCATTATCTGATGAATATGGACTCTGGCCTAAATTACAACCTTCATCCGATAATGGACTGTGTCTTTGCTCATATGCATCTGATTTTAGTGATAACATATTGTTATCATTAGTTGGGGTTAATTGATTTGGATTTACAATCATCTTAATGCTGCCTCTGGTACCAAACTTTTGTAATAATTGTTCAACACTTGGAAAGAGATTACGATTGGAAGTTACTGTAGTTTTGGCAGTTGAAGCCTTTATACTAATTTGTTGTCTAAATTTGCACTCTAAGTCCAATTTACGCTGAGCTACCAAAGATGAGTGCTCGTTTATAATATCCGTTGTATTTGTTGTATCAATAACATGCACTTCTATACACGGTAATACTGTTGTTGTTGTTGTTGTTGCTGCTGTTGTAGTTAGTTGCGTTGGGGAAGTTGCAAAATAATTTTCTATCTGCGTATTATTTTGATCAGTTTTAGATATTTTTAATTGTAAATTTTGTATATTACGCCTTTTGCTTAAACTTGGGCTTGGGCTTGCGCTTGGTAAATTTATATGTATGGTAATACCCTGCGATGATTCCGTAAAGGGGTAACCCGTAGAGTTTTTTAAATGTTTATTTGAATTGAATTCACTAAAAAAATCTGATTTTAATTTTGCTTTCTTATCGGCTAAACTTATAGATCTGTTGCTAAAAATACTGGTATCTTTTATCACTGCGTTGCTTGTAGATTGTAATCCTTTAGGGATCGCTCCTGATTCCAGTAGTTCACATCGATGTGTTGATAATGTTGTTGTTGGTGATATTAACTGCTTGTGTATTGTATACTCAGCAGATAAATTATCGTACGGCAAATATAAATTTGTACTGCACGCTCCAAGTTCTTTTTGATTACTAACTTTTGTCAGCACTTCTGACGGGCATTTATTTTCGGTTGATTTTGATTTGGTTATTGCAAGCGTCGGCAATGTTCGTGCTAGCACTGATTGTTCAAGACAATAAAGTGCTGTTGTATTTGTTGTTGTTGTTGGTGTTTCTGTTGCTGGTGTAATTGTTGTTGCTGTTGCTGTTGCTGTTGTTGTTATTCGGCTTGGTATTAATTTATTTACATGTTTCGACGACAACGGCAACGGCAACGATAACGACGGCGACGACGACCGCGACGACCGCGATGACGACGATGACAACGTTAATAACGACAGCGACGAAGGCAACAATGTTATGTCTCCCTCAATTTTAGCTTCTAAGCTTGCCGGCGGTTGTACGGTACTCGTTCTCTCTAATGCTTCTACAATCTTCAAATTTCTATTTGCTATTTTGCTATCGTCAATTGCTGCTGTTAGAGTGGAAGTTGGAAATTCACATATATCAACGGGCAGAATTCCACCATCAACACAGCTGCCAACATTGATTGCTTTAGATAATATTTCTCTCGTTGTTGCTGCTGTTGTCGCTGTTGTTGTTGTAGTTGTTGCTGTTGTTGCTGGTATTACTATTGTACTTGTTGTGCTTGGTGCTGTTACTGTTGCCTGTTGTCTGATTGGATTGTTGCTCTCATATTTGCTTACGTCATTTATCATTTTCCCGATTAGATTATGCATTGTAATTGACGCCTTTGGCATTGTTGCAGTCTCAATTTTAGAGTGTTTTGTAGACATGCATTCTATGGTCGGTAAGGTCGTTATATCTTCTATTGTTGTTGATGTAATTGTTGGTGTAGTGACTGTTATTGTTGCAATTGGATTTATTGCTGCCGTAGTAGCAGTAGCTATTATAACAGTTGAGTTTACTAATTTGCCTGGATTCCCCAATATAACATGTGAATCGGTGTCTTTAGGGCTCATACTGTTTAGGTTATTCCACTTTGTTGTCAATATTGGTGCTACAGTTATTGCTGTCGACGTTGCTATAGTTGTTGCTGTTACTGTTGCTGTTGCTGTAATTGGTGCTACTGTTGTTGCTGTTATTGCTGTTGTGGTTGTTGTTGTTGTTGCTGCTGCTGCTACTGCTGTTATTATATTCGACTTAATTGACGTGACGTACGTTTTAGCTCTCTTATTTGCACGGATATTGAGATCGTAATATCGTGGACACTTTTTTGGTTTCACATTTAATTTTAAATTATCATCTTTGCAGGTTGAACTACTCATCATGGTTCATTGAATGCGTAAATCTGTAATTGGCTTTGGCGTCATTTACTTCTTAACTAGAAATAAGATTAATCAAAAACTTTTCGTATGACGTCAAAGTGTGATCTTCAATGAGTAACATTAAATGTTGCATTAAGGCGGTATACACGTTTTGACGTTAAGCAACATTTTTTTATTTCTTATGAAATATTAGTGTTTTTTACGTTCACTCACTGTAAAATTTAAGAAGCCATCATAAAATTTACAATATTTGCTATATTGTCTTATCAGCGTCTTTAGACACTCCTCCACATTTCTGTGTTGCTTTCATAAAACTTTCTAATCACTTTTTTTTGACAAATTGCTATTTTATCTGCGTGTGTGTGTAAGTGTGACCGATATAAATTCAATTGACGCTTTCTGTGACGTATGTGTTGACGTGTTTTTTTTTTTCGCTTGCAATATAGTATAAATATAGTATAGGAAAAATTTTTGCCCGATATGCAATCAGTATTAACCAGTTTTTCTTTAGACTTTGATAATTTATATAAAAATATTGTTTATGGTTTTTTGCATTATTTTTTATAAAAAAAAAATATAAAAAATATTATTTAAGCTTTTTTATAATTTTTTAAAAAAACAAAAAAAAAATTTTTATTTTATTTATATATAAAAATAATTTTATATATACTGTATCTTGCATATTATTTGTCACAATATGAATAATGTAAGATTAAGTGTTCCGCCGGTTGTAATATTGCACAAAAGACTGATTTAATAATGAAATGATTTACGTTTTAAGCGGCACTTGGCTTTATTCAATTTATTTACTGACATTTTTCTTGAATTCTTTTGTAGAATTTATCAACAGAAAATTTTATATTTAATGAATATATCACAATTAAGAAATTATTTCTTTCTCACACTTATTACATTATTTTCTATAATTTTTAAAATTTCAATACTCATAGACGTAAGCATTTCGTTACAAGCTCAGTAAAGATTTATACACTGCAATATTTCATCATTATTATTTTATCACAACTAGTAATGATCATGTAATTTTCATCACATTCTATTCACGACTTTAGTATTTTTTTCCTCTATTAGTAGAATTAGTTATGATTATGCAATTTTTGTATTTAAAACGTTAACATTTTTTTCGCTCTAGAATTGATGTATAATGTCCGCTCTTGATGCATAAATAGAACCAGTAATGATCATAAAATATTTTTCATATTAAGTAAAAAAAAATTCTATCAAAATTATTCCGTCTTACTCATTTATATAAAGTTTTTCAGTTTCGTTTATATAACATCTATTTTGATTTCCACATAGAAGTAGTAATGATCATTCAATATTTATCATATTATAAATATTATGTCCTTAATCAATGTTGCTATATTCATTTTATTTTGGTTCCGTCTTTAATTAGCTCTCCAAATAATCATAGAACTAGTAATCATCATGCAGTATTTGTCATATTATAAATATTTGTAAATAATTCTATACTATAATTCTATCAAAAATTTTCTATTTTTTGTCCTTAATCAATGTTATTTCCTTTTATTTTGGTTTCCTCCTTAAATAACTCTCCACGTATGCATAGAACTATTAATGATCATGCTTGTTCATTTTAGAATCATAATATAAATAATTCTATAAAAAATTTTTCTATTTTACTCCTTAATATAGATATTGTTCAGTGATCAATATCGTTTATATTCCCTGTAAGTCCTCTCTCCAATTAGCTCTCGACGTACACATGGAACTTGAAATACACACACGATTGCATTAACTCTTACATGCATTACACGATCGATCTTCCTTTAATTTTGTACTATGGTATGTTTAACTTTCTATTAAACACAAGCAATTGTATCTGAAAATAAAAATAAAAAAGCAAACAATTAAAAATGAATTAGAATATACAATAAATAAATAATAAAAAAAAAATGCATAAAGGAAAAATATACATATATTAACAATGATGGGTGAACTTTTTATACGAGTGTGCATTTGTTTTTTGATTTATTTTTGGTTTTATGATGGGACTTTTATGAGTTCTTTGTCAAGAGCAATTATGAAATATTGTCAGCAGTTTTTTTGGATTTCGCTTTATTAAATTTTGTTTGAATGACGTAAATTGTTGTGGTGTAGCATTTTATTTCATTCAAATTTATCATTTGTTTTTATTGCCCAAAAGGTGAATAAGTTAAATTGTGTGTGTGTCGAGTCTGTTATGCATATATCAAATTTATTCATTTATTTTGACTTTATTATTTGATTTATTTGTCAGCCGTGTATGTGCCTTTTATGCCTTTTGGCAGTTACAAGAGGATGGTGATTTTCCGGAATAATATTAATTACATTCCAAATAATTATTACTTGCGGTTTATTTTTAGTATCTTTTCTTTTCACATATATATTTCCGTATATCTACAATTTATCTTATATAGGGTGTTCTTCATAATGTGGTATAAAATAGTAGCAGATGATTTCTTAAGTATACATATGTCCAACAGACAAGCGAACTAAATGTACCCAACTGATCAAGAATATATGTATATACCACGATGTTTTCTTCAATGCGTTCCAATCATTTTGACAAATCTAATATACTCATTATAAGTTTTTTTTTGTTTAAAGGATATAATAAATATACTTTTAAAAAAATTATTTATACGAAAAGTTTACTATAATAATAAGAGCTAAGACATGGAGCGGGCGTTATACTTGAAGCAAGTGGTGGAAGTGGCAGAGAAAAAATCTGGGAGCTGGCAACATTATGCTTGAAAAAATCTCTGAAATGGATCCTCAAGGATGGATTGTTTTTCCCATATTGCTATTAAAAAAAAGAACACAAATATCTAAGAAAATAATTTTCATAACAGTGAATATTACGATTATTGGGTTTTCTAAATATCGTTTGTATGTCTTAATAATAATAGAAAAAAACTTTATTGTAAGGTAAAACTCTTCAACAACATTTATTCAAAATTTTGAAGTCATATATTTCAAATGTCACATTGTGTAAAAATTTTCTTACTAAATTAAATTTACTGTCTATTGCAAACAGTGCTCAACTTAGCTCAATTGTATATAGGTATTAAAGTAAACAAAAAACAAAATGCTGCCTAACAGCATCAAAAATTAATATATAAAATTTTTTCAATTGCTGGGTTAACTTCACTTAATCGTAAAATAAAAATAAAACAAATATTCTCTTTTGAAAACCTCTAATACATACATGTTGATATTAAATAACTAACAGATGTCTCTATGTTTTACGTGATTTCCTGCCATCAAAGCTCAATATCACGGTACTCTTAACACACGTATTAATTTAAGCGTCAATCAACGCCCCATTGGAATAGCCCGCTCTATTCCCCCGGTACCAATGAAGAAATTCATGGAAGTCATAACTTCCACCTTGGTAATATGCGAGGCCTACCTACTGACCTCTGCTACAATTTGGGCTGCAGCACCCGGTTTGAAACGCACACCACGGCGAATGAATGACAACCAAAACATTCTTCCCGCGTAAGTTTGGTTATTAACCACAGCCACTTCGAAGCCAATACCAATGGTCAGTACAGCCGAAGCTGTCGGGCCACTAACCCCCGAAGTACCAGATAGCATCATCTCTGGTCAGATGTCGCAAGTTGCCGCCCATAACTCACTACCATTTGCACTTCTTGCATAAGTGCCAGACTAGCACTGGGGGATTTTAGTCGCCTCTTACGACAGGCAATCCTAACCGCGGGAGTATTCTTTCCCCCTCTCCGAAGGGAATAAATAACTAACAGTCGGATATAGCTACAGGTAATTTATATGAAAGATTGGGCAGTTCCAAACTTTCGATCTATACAAATAAAAGCAATATCAAAGAAGCCGAATAAAAATAAAAAAAAATAAAAAAAAAATTTAATCAACAAAAATATATAGTAAGAATACATTATATATGTTAGTATGTAGTCTTATATTTTTGTGTACTAACCGAGAGGTATGAAATAGATAGTTTAAAAAATTTGTTTAATAGTAATAATATTTATTTTTCATAAATTGTTGAAATATTTCAAGCTGATAATATTTTAATTTAAACATTTTTATTACAAAAAAAAATAATAAAATATATTATCTACGGTCTTTGTTAAGTTTTTCGTGTTACAAAAAGTGATTCACTTCAAATTGTGCAAAAATATTTTAATTATTATAATTAGAAATGTTTATTAAGAAAATTAAATACAATTAATAAAAGTACATAGTGTAAAAAATTTTCCATTGTGATAAATTCGATTGTTGTTATGATTCATAGTTTTAAAGATTACAATTTTTTAAAACTAATAAAAATAACACCTTGTGATAATAATTATCTAATTCTTTTATAATTAGAAAACTAAAGATGTTCTCTTAAGTTCAAAATTAGCATATGCAAAAGTTTTTCAATTAAAAGAGAAATTTGCCTACCAAAGTTAACTATGGGAGAGAACCATAATCATATTTCTTTCATTTTGGAAAGCATTTTTTACTATTCCTTTTAATCACAACAACTTTATTTGTGCAGTTACAAACAGAAAAAAATTTTAAAATATCTTTTTTTAAATATCATATAAGGGCTTGAACAGACTGTAAAATACAGACTGTAGGTGCAAGAGCTCATCTCGCAAAAGTAGGGTGTCTCTTGAAATCCATTAAGTTTAAAAGCATACTTTCCATTATTAAAACCTTTAGGTAATTACACACCTATTTCTGACCATAAATCTAATATGTTGTCTTAATACCTATAAAACAGACCATGGGTTAAATATTTAATGTTGATATCGGTTGTTAAAGGAATAGTGGTCCTAGAGAAGGTACATATTCTCTGGCAATATGTAAAATATATGTGCCAAGTAATAAAATATGTGAGTATTTTCTTCTGAATTGAAAACAGAGTCAAAGTACTAGAAATAAATTCAGTAAGTCACTGCTGATGCAAAATAATGAACTTTGCCTTATGAAAATAAAAATATTTTCAAGCGAAAATATGTCATGAAGTACCTATTCAACAGAATAGGTGATACATAGAAATATGTATCACATTTCTAACCTAATTGACGTCATAATTATCTGTGGTTTACATTCTGTGATTAATTTAAATGAAATATACTAATTTTAATAAAATATACTAATTTACTTTATATGTACTTATAAATATACAGATTGTTTACTGTAATTTCGGAGCTGATTCCTTAGTTTAGGAAATGAAAGAAATTATATAAAATAAGTACTCCATTTCTAATATCTACCCAAATAAAAGGTGTCATAGAAAGTATTTTTAAAAAAACATAGTCAAAAATGGCCAAATACTTTAAATTTATTTGTGGACAAAAAAGACAAACTATATCTGTATATAACCTATAACTATAAGATTTATTTGAGCATAAGAACTTTTCAGTATTAGAAATCAAATAAAAACATTTGAGTATTAATAATCAAATTAAAGGATATTCAATACACTAACAATTGTCTTAAACTTTTGCAGTGAACCGATTTTGAGATACGACAATGTTTATCAATAGAGATCATATAA